TTTGCAATTACTGTACATAGCACAGACTCTTGCACTCAATTACTGTACATAGCACAGACTCTTGCACTTTCTGCTTATTTGCACTTCTGGTGAGATGCCAAACCTCATTTCGTTACTCTATACTTGTATATGTGTAATGACAATAAAGTTGAATCTCATCTCATCTCATATCATTGTTCGTTATTAAGCATAGTAGAGGAATAATGATTTTAAGGGTTATGACTGCTCTAAGTTAATACAGTTATCCCTCAGGAGGAGACAAATAACTAATCAATAAAAAATGTAATGTTGATAAAAACACTTTTACCTGATTAAGTCTAAAATGAAAGAGAAGCTCCACAAATGAAGGACACACTTTAGAAAAGTTTCTATTGCTCTGTTGCATATTCCTGCTAAAGATGTCAGAAATTACAAAAAGTTCAAGGCACACACTGTTCAGACATCAAGATGTCCATGAGCAATATGTCTTAGTGTTTCTGCCTCCCTTTTTGTTAGCATTTTAAACATCTGATAACTGAAATCAGTGTTTGTGTCAAAGTAACAGTGGCTCTGTATCCTATGTCTAGTTTTAAATGTTTACATGAATTTGAGCTGAAGTGCTCATCAATAGTAAAGTCTATGAATACAAAAACTTCTCTGTGCGTGTTGTACCCATCCTACAGTCGGATGGTAGTGGTACCATCTTTTCTTCTTCTAATGGAGCTACTGTATCTCATTCAGGTTTGGTCTCACAAAGAGTACCCTCTGATCCCTGTGGGCAAACTGGTGCTCAATAGGAACCCAATGAACTACTTTGCTGAGGTGGAGCAACTCGCCTTCGATCCCAGCAACATGCCACCAGGTATCGAGGCCAGCCCAGACAAGATGCTGCAGGTAAACACAACTTTCTTTCTTTTCATTTGTTATTCTTGACACATTTTCCAGTAATACTGAATCTAAAAAAAGTTATTTCAGCTAAACTGTTCCTGTAACTTCAAATAATAACTGTCTCTATGGTGTCCTGTTTAAGTGCATGTTCAGGCATCTTAATGAGGGCATTTGGTGACCCCAAGACTTTATTGTCTCCCAGCAGGTCTTAGTCTGGACCCTAATCTTTTGAATAAATGACCAACGAGAAATCTTGTTTTGTTTTTTTAAAGACAGACCCTTCAGTTAAGCGATGCCCTGTTGATGTTCATCTCCTTTATCTTTGTCTAGGGCCGTCTCTTCTCCTACCCAGACACGCATCGACACCGGTTGGGAGCTAACTACCTGCAGCTCCCTGTCAACTGTCCATTCAGGAGCCGTGTGACCAACTACCAGCGCGATGGTCCGATGTGCATGTTTGACAACCAAGGTGAGTCATAGTCCAACCTGTGTGTGACGCAATAACAGAGACAGACTCAAAGGCTTTACTGTTGAAGCTTTGTATGTAGCGCAAAAAATAAATCTTGTATAATCTACCTAATCTATCTTTTAGTCTGTATATATCAAAGGAGCATTGTAGTATTTGCAGCGATTGGGTTACTCACAGTGTGTCCAGGAAAGATGAGCCACCTTATCTGAGACAAAGCACACCACGAAAACATCAAACCTGAGTGATGAAGTTAGAGTGAATTCAGTCTATAAAACACATCAGTTTAATACATTTGATCTCCCACTACATCCAGACATACAAATTTTAGTTTTTGAAAAGACTTGGTAAAATACAACAGGGCAAGACCAAGAGTTGCCCAACAGATGTCGCCATTGAGACTGTATGAAATGCAATAGGACTCATACTAATAGGAGGGTGTTTAAGAAGAATTGTAAGTTGATCATCTAATTCAAACTGAGTTTAAAACTAACCACAGTCATCCATGCACACAGTCAATAAAGTTCTTTATTCTGTTCAGATTTTAACATAGCAGTTTGTTCTGTCCGGCTTCAAGGTGGAGCCCCAAACTACTATCCCAACAGCTTCAGTGCTCCTGACACCCAGCCTCAGTTTGTGGAGTCCAACTTCAAGGTGTCTCCAGATGTGAGCCGTTACAACAGTAGAGATGAGGACAATGTCGCACAGGTGAAGAAAACATCCCGATATTACAAGCACCAGCCGGTTTACACAAACCGATTTCACCACCAGGATGGTTCTTCTTCTCTCCTAATTTCCTGTGCGCTTCCTGCCCTGTACCAAACAGACACAGCTAACAGCTTCAGAGCCCAACATAATAAGTCAGTTTTATGTCTAACAGGTTCCTCCTCTTTCACAAGTCACCATGGACATAAGTCAACAGGGTTTTCAAATAAAGACTGAAATGAAAATCAAGAATAATGAATCATTGTAGAGCAAAACAAGTGAACTAATCTACACATGAACTGTATGTGTGTTACTACTCTAAGGTAACCAGGATCGTGACAAGGCTAGAGATGATTGGCTTTATTTTGAAGCTATCCTGTCTGTATGAAGTGGACTGAAATGGATATCCTTTTGATTCAATCTACTCTTACCAGGTATTTAATGTGTGTTTTCAAATTTGAATTGCAGGTTCGGACCTTCTACACCGAGGTGTTAAATGAGGAGGAGCGGGAGAGGCTTTGCAGTAACATGGCTGGTGCCCTGAAAGGAGCCCAGCTCTTCATCCAAAAGCGCATGGTGAGTCCTCACTGCATTATTATCCACACAGTCTCTGTCACCTGGACATGCTTGATGCTGTCATGCTTCTACTAAGAGTTGTCCAAACATAATACTTCCACTGTTTAAATCAAAGGACATGTTCTTTAACATGTTTATTGCCCCGTAGCAGGAAACATTTAAAAAATAAAATACTGATGGCTTTATGAACGAGCGTGCTAAAACCACAGAATGTAGCTCTCTGGAAACCAAACACTGTGCTCATGAAGCTTGGTGTCTGTATGTGGGTTTAGGCAGAGGCGATTAAATTGAAATCTCCCAATTCATGCACCAGGCAGTTCTAAAGTGTTCTTCAAACAATCAAAGAAAATGTGATCATGTATACAGTGTGAAATGAAACAGAACAGAAATGTTACTTAAATCTTGCTCAAAGGGAACAGTTACTGAAGAAGACTTAAGAGGTCCGGTTAGTAGTTTATTTTGGGATTAAGCATTTATTGTTTAAAAAAAGGCGTAAGATTTGGACGAGTTTATAATGGTAACTTTAGTTGTTTTCCTATTACCTTGGACGACATAGGTCGTCATGGTTATTAAACTGGTGAATGCACTGACTTGTTTTTTTAACAAGTTGTCAGGGAGAAGTGATTTGTACTGATCCTGACTTCTACTATGATTGCAGAATGATATGAATGAGTCTGTTTTCACTTATAAATTCCAGGGCTTCTTAATGGTTGATTTGCTAACTTTTACATAAAGACATTTAAGTCATCTTTTTTGTGCATACATTTTCTCAGTGATGTCAGATACCATGGATTATTCAGGTTCATTAAGAATCTGAAGGCCCTTACTCATCACTGCACCTGGCACTATATGCTTGTGTCAGCTTCCCTGCATTGTCATGTTGACTAAATCACTGGCATTTCCTGGTTTATGAGCTATTTCTTAACTTTCTTCCTTCTTATGTATGTCATTTTGTTCATTTGAATAATGCTGGAAGCTACACTCCTCACCCTGTTTTTCATATCTGTCTCCAAAGTGCCTCTTTACATGAGAATACAGGAGTTATAGGTAGGCTGCCCTATTTGGCTTAGGGCGCACTCACACTAGCAAAGTTGTCCCGTACTGTGCTTAAGCACGGTTGCCCCCCCTCCCCATTACCCCGCTGGCCTGCTCTCACACTGCTCCAGGACTAACCGGGCCCGAGCACGGCTACCTCTTGCACATAAGGTCGTAATACAACACATGCATGGCTTTACTTAATAATGAAGCGTGCTCAGTTTACAAGACAGGCTTACTCGAGGAAATAAATAAAGACACATGGTCGATTCTGCGTCCATACATCGGGGAACTTTAGCGGTGAAGCGTGCTTGGGCACGGCACAGATTGCCTAGTGTGAGTGCGCCCTTAGAATCTGCTACAGGAGGATTTGGATGTGGGGACCTTGTTCCTTCAGACCTTTGAAAAAGGAGTTTGAAGGCGTTGGAGGAAGTTGCATCAGGTTATAGACACTTTGAAATGGCTAAATTCAATAGCTAATCAACTTGAATCACATTTTTATGTTTGAAATGTCTTTATTGAGCATTTCAAAACTGTATTTGTCGTACTTTCATTTTATAAATATACTTTATGTTGTACTGTTTAAGCTCTTGTGCTTTACTTCCTGTTTGAAAGAGAAATCCTGCCTTTATTTTCGAAGAAAACCGTAAAAAAGGAAGTGTTTGATGTGACACAGTGGACATTAAATGTGAATCGTTAACTGTAGTGACTTATCTATGGTACGCTGAAAGGGACATAGAACTTCACACAATTAATGCTATTAAACTAATATAAGCGTTCATTTGGGATCTTAATGTCATCGTGTTTAATGTGGAAAGTGCTCAACAACAATGTAACAATGATGTTATATAAGGGGTGAAATAACAGAACTAGCAATTGACCTGGTTTCATTTCCGTCATGCGTCACCCACCCTCAACTGTCAACAGGTGACCACAACGCTGTGACTTCTGGTCACACTGTGGAAATCTTTCACAGAGAAGAACACACTCTCTGTTTTACTGTGGTCAGGTCTGGTTTCATGTTTCCAAGCAAGATTGCAACTCTAAACCACCTGCATCATCTTCCTCTCAGTGTTTTTAATAAACATAAATAAATAATTGAGTAAGTCAAATCACAATAAGGTATTCTATCTTCCAAAAGAATCATCATATCTAGACTGTTTGACAGAAGACATTTGATCAAACTCTGATTGTTAAAAGTATAAAGAACATCTTTTTCAGGGCCTTAATATCATATTATCTGTTTTCTCCTGCAGGTTGAGAACTTGAAGGCTGTCCATCCAGACTATGGAAACCGGGTTCAGAATCTTCTCAACAAGTTCAATGATGAGGCCCAGCAGGTAAATAGTAACTGTCTGATTGATTCTTGGCGAGTAGTTTTGATATGTTTATAAAACTTGAAGCAAACATTCAGGCAGGAATCTGAATGACTGAGGGGATTCCCTGGGCGCTGTTTCTTTAGTGTCATCATGACTTTGACATTTTGGACTTCCCAGAGGAAGACTAAAACTTTTGGAAGTGTCCTGACTATTGTTTTCAGCTATTCTAGCAGGTCCACATTTAAATTTAATGGTTTTCCTCAACAGCTGTTCAGTGGGGAGCAAATGTTTGCATATGAATGGATTTTTTTACTTAATGTTATCAGAGCAGTTGATGAATTATTTACTGTCTGCATACAAAAAAAAATTGCGTAGAAAGTTTCTGACATGAATGATCTACCCTAGCTTAAAATATCAAGGCAACTATCGTAGGGCTGCTTGATTATGGCAAAAATCATAATCACGATAAATAAATAAAAAAAAATATATATATAAATTTGTGATTCTGATTCAGTGTTAAGGCCAGCAGAGAAGGCCTTACTGTCACTGACTGCCAACCTCTGACAAGGGCTGACATGGGCGGCTCAGATGTAGAGTCGGCCGTCTCTCAACTGGAAGGTTGAGGGTTCGATCCCCAGCTCCTGCAGCAACATGTCTGATGTGTCCTTGGGCAGGAATGAATTGCTCCCGCTGCTTCGTGTGCGGTGTATGAATGTGTGTGAATGGGATTAGGTACTTCTGATGACACTTGACATAGCAGCCTCTGACATCAGTGTGTGAATGTGTGGGTGTGACATGCAGTGTAAAAGCACTTTGTGTAGTCAGAAGACTAGAAAAAAGCGCTATACAAGTGAATTTACCATTTTCAGTCTTCAGTATTTGAGCTCATATTGTATACAGATGTTTATAGATCAAGGATAACATTCAGCCTGCTCACGAGGACAAGGATGTTAAACAGAAATGAAAGTTATTCCATGACAGACATTGGGCACATTAATTGTCGGAACATTTGGATATACTGTATATATTTTTTGTGTGTCTGGTGGCAACATTTCGTAATGCAGATTTATTAATGTTGTCGTAAACAGCTGTCTGCAGTAACGTTTTCTAAGATGTGCATCTGGTATACAGTTGTACTTAATACCAACTCTCTCTCTCGCTCTCTCTTTCACTTCCACTCTCTTAGAACACACCCGTGCATGTCTACAGCCGTCCAGGAGTCTCGGCCGTCGCCGCATCTCCAAGATGTGATGCCTTAAATTTCCAGAAGGGGCAGCACCCTCATGTATCGCAGAGCAAATGCACTTCTTGATTAACAACTGCTACTAAGAGTAACGAGATTGGACTAAAAAATTAGTATAATGACGAGACTGAAACACCGACTTGTAATGTGAGGGTTGTGTTTTTTGTTTTTTTTCATTCAGTCCATCCAAACAGTTGATTTTCCTCAAAATCCTCAAAGCTTTCAATATTCAGCAGATTCTTTATCTCTGTCATTTGTCTTGATTGAACACTAATTTAAAAACAGATGAAGTTGTTTATTTTTTTACAGACTGAAACAAAGACCACTATGGCAACTAATGTTAACTAGATCGAGTACAGCATGACGAAATGGAGGGCTTGCCTTTGACCAAATATGGCCTCAATGCTAATGTTTGTTTGTTTTTAAATATAGGTGTGATTGAAGTTTCAAGTTCAACCTCAGCTTCTTCCATGTACCAGGATGAGTGATTATTTCTTAGGTTATGTTTGTATGTTGGATTGATTTATCTTTCTCCAAAAAAAAAATCCAAATCAGCTATTCTGTTAGTCTTCTTTTAACATTCACATGTGATTCAATGTGTGACATATTCAGCATTAATCTCCGATCAGGTTGTAAAATACATTGATTTTTTTATGTAGTGTTGGCACATGCCAACTGCAAGAAGCAGTATTTTTATTTTTCACTGCAGGCAATCATAAGCGTTGGCTTGTTTTCCTCACGATTGACTGAACCTCAAAAATCATTGCATTCTTCATGAGAAGAACTTTCAAACTGAAATGATTTTTCAGTTTGATCTGGGGGTGTTTGTGGGCGGATGCATATCCTGTCAGTAATGCAGTTCACAAAAAGGACACAATTACTTTCACTTCATCAAAAAGTCAATAGTGCCTTTTTGTACTAAATACAAATATAAATAAATTAACCTGAAACTCAAAAATCATTGATTAACTTCTCTTTAGTGGAAAAGAGAAACTTTGTTGATTTATATCGTGGTCTATCAGTTAACGTAGGGTTAATGTGGCTAAGTAGCATTAAAAAAACAGAGACTACATCCTCATCCGAATCAAAAAACACGACCACTAATTCCCTCCTATTCTGGTTTTCTTTCAGACTGACTAGAAATGTAGTTTAGGGCTTTCATGTTTGTCCATTCTATGCAGAGAAAAAGACCCTTGACTAAATGCACAGTTTATTGTGTCACTGTGTAATATACACTGTATGACCTGTTGTGTGTTTGCTAACTCTTCAAAGTGTAAAAAATATATTTTATATGAATGTTTAAAATCAGATTTGTATTTAGTGCCTGTATTAAATCGAAGCTTAACAGCAGCTTTCATGTCTCGTTCTTTTGTTTGAAGACATCTTTGTTTTCTTCAACGCTGTATGAGAAGAGGAAACTAAAATGCCAGTTATCTCATCTAGCTCATCTATAGTAAGTTGCCATTTCAGTTTTTAAAGTTGCTTAGAGTTCTCTCAATGCCAACCAAAACACAGATTAATAAACCATAAGACCTTATTTAGTTCTGATATTTAAGGGATTACGGAGTTGACGTGTTATGGTTGAGACACCTGATAGCATCATTTAATGAATTTCAAAAAAAATAGAAAGCTTAACGATACTTAAATGTCATCCCCCCTTTTCCCTTCAGGAATGAAGACAGGGGTCCTTTGGTTATAGCTCACCTCTTTTTATGCCTGATTATTTTGTGTTTTTGTAAAAGTGACGGAGTTACAAAAAACTGGGACACTTTTTAACAACTCAAAATGTTCAAAAAAAAACATTTTAAAATGTAGATGACTATAATAATCTTTTTTTTTTACACCCGTTGTATCAGTAGGTTTTGTAGTTTTAAGATTTTGTATGATTTTGACACATTTTTAAATAGTTTAAAGTTTTAAATGTGTGTCTTGGACAAGGGTGCTTTCTGTCAAAGGGCAGGTTTAGACTTAAAAAGAAAATAAATCAGAACCAAAATTAGGTATTTCAAATTGGTTTCATATATAAAAATCTTAAAAAGATTTTCATAAGTGTATTTGTAAGTGATATTTTTAATCTTGTTTGCCTGGGACATGATTTTTCCCAATTCTCAAGAATGAGTGTTATTCAAATTTAAGAAGAAGCTAATCTTGGTTGGTTGGTTTTGCCTCATTGGCTGGTATCAGGTTGGAAAAGCAGCCTGTGCTGTGCTTACCCTCAAAGGAGCACACCAACACTCACAGCGACACGATCATAGTGTGTGTACACCCTTCTGCAGCCTGCACTCCAAACCTACAGATAAGACGACTGAGATGAATCCTGAAGGTGTTCCACTGCAGGGAAGAGGATATGAAGGATATCCAGGACAGCCTGGACAGCCTGGATATCCAGGACAGCCTACAGTGGTTCAGTCCACCACTGTGAACATCGTCACTGAGCCCCCAAAGACTACATCATCTGGTCCCTCTCTCCTTCGTCTACTCAAACCCTTTCTGCCTCGGACTGTGGCTCTCATCTACTCCATCAAGGTCAGTTTAAAAACATCAGTTAAGACTCACTGATGAACAAAATAACTCGGTCTTTGACATTGAAAAAGCGTAAAATGTTCATGAACAATACCAGGAGAAGAATTTTCCTGTGGTTTTTGCAGAAAACTTGAGTGAAGTTCTTAAATTTCAAAAACATGTAAAAGTATTGTTAAAAGCTTCGCTTTATTTGAAGGGTCTTTTTGGAGATTTTTTCAATTTGAAATTCCAAACTATCAGTGAGTAAGAAAAAAAAGACTCATCATTGAAAGGATGACAGGTTTGAGATGAAGACCATTTTCGCTTCATTATACAATCATTCAATCATCGTAAATATTTGCATTATCTTGACAAAGATGTAAAAAATAAACGTGTTCAACTTTGTTTTTTTCTTGAAGATAAACAATTTACTGAACATAATGAGAGGTGCTTCTGTCGTTTCAGTCCAGAGATCGGAAGATGGTTGGTGATCTGGAGGGGGCTCGACATTATGGAGGAACTGCCCGCACCTTCAACATTATATCATCTGTTTTGTTTGGCATAGGGGTCCTAATCTCCATTATTATGTTCATTGTGATCATTGTGAACTCAGGAAATTCATATAATCGTTATGATTATGGTTATTATAGAAACTGATAGAAAATGAACTGTAAAATCATTTTGGTTAACTGAAACTAAAATAAAAACAAGGCTTTGCAAAATAAAAACTATAACTTGCCTACCTTTTAACCACTTATGAACCAATACGCAGTCTGCGATCCTCTGGCAGAGCCCTACCGGCTGTTCCAGGCTAAAAACTAAAGGGGACAGGGCCTTTGCTGTCAGAGCCCCCAGACTTTGGAACAGCCTGCCAGAGGAGATCAGACTTGCAGAGTCAGTCCCTTGTTTTACATCTCTACTCAAGACATTCTTTTATAAAAATGCTTTTACTCTGTGATATCGTTAATTGTTTTTATTTTTCATTTTATTAGTCTGATTTTGTTGTCTGCTTGTTTACGCTCTGCCTGTTGCTTTAATTGTCTCTGCTTTTATTTTCTGTTGCAAAGCACTTTGCTACTTGTATAGAAAAGTGCTATACAAATAAAGTATTATTATTATTATTACCTGAATCTGTATCGTGTGTTTACAAAACTAAATAAAAATTACATTATAGACAAAGTGTCCTTTGTCTTTGTGTTTGACACGAGCATACTGACTGATATGCCGTTTATGTTTTGTCTCAGGCGTGTCTGGATGAGCATGTTCATGCAGAAGTTAAAACGGTTTTCCATATTTTTTTAAGATATATTATATTCTTTAGACTCTAAAGGATATGTCAAAGTCAAAGTCCTATTGGGTCGGGGGCCGGATTTGTCCAAATGAGACCTCAAGTGGGCCGGACTCATTTTGCCGACATCACTATAACTCAACACATGGATATATAGGCTAATGTATGATTGTATAGAAAACTTTAACATTAACATTAAGCAGAGGGGTTAACTCTGTCATTGCAAACTGCATGTTGGCACATGGAAATATTTAAATGTACCACATTACAGAAGAAAACATCAATAATTATGTTTTGATTGAGATTATTATATTATGTTTAAATATTGCTATTCAAGGTTATAGACACTTTGACACCTTATTCTACCTGCCCTGGGCTCAGTGCATTAGAGAGAGAGAGAGAGAGAGAGAGAGAGAGAGAGAGAGAGAGAGAGAGAGAGAGCGACTTTAGATCTGTGTGTGTCAGGCCACAGCACAGTTTGCACTCGTTAAGGTTCATTACAGATAAAACCTGCTCACGTGAATAAGTTGTCACAAACAAACAGAGTGTCTTTGATGCATCTTCGGGTCTTTAAGTATGAGGCATTATAAAATGATAACATGTTTCCAAACGAACTGACTTGAATTGATCCTTCAGCTTTGCGCACTGCAGTCTGATCAGCTCCGTGTGGAGTGCACGTTCTTCAACTAAGTAGACTCAGTTAAACGACTTTTCATGAGTCTGGCAGTCCGTTCTTCTACGTGTCCGCAATATCGTGATCTAACTCTGTCACTGACTTTTTATGCTCCATGAATCTCTGCCATCTCCGTGCGCAATTCAAGGAAGAATTTTAGCGCTGCTCCATGATTAAACCAGCGGACCTCTGTATGATCGGGCAGCCTGTGCGTGATATCGTCTTTGTATAAGAATGAAATGTTCAGTAATAGTTACATATTTACGGTCTGATGAAAGCTGGTGATAAAGGCGCAACAGCAGGCTACTGCATTTAGAAGTGATTTCGCACTGAAACTTTTAGGTGATCAACACAACACGTTCACCTCTGGGTGCAGGGGCGGACTGGCCATCTGTGTGTTCTGGAGAATCACAGAACGGCCGGTACTCCAGGATGGCCGGCGGCCGCCACGCAGTCATCACCAGTTTTTTTTTTTTCCTGCTAATTTACTGTTTCACACTCCAGTCCGGTAGGTGGAAACAATGCGTCTTAAAGTTGGATGCCAGCCGGCAGCTGCCTGTGCCCACCAGCTATAATCTAAAAGAAGAAGTAGTAGTAGCAGCTAGTGATGTGAAAAGCAGTTCTTTTCAGTGTACTGAATCATTAGAATCAGTTCAGTAAAGTGATTCGTTCAAAAGATTCGTTCACCGAATCGTTCAGTACTTCTCTGCAGCTCTGTCTGAGAATCAGAATTTAATAAGCTGAAATACGACCGAACGTTTAGTTCTGCTCGCGATCGTACTGAGAACAGCAGGTGGTGAATAATAAACTAATGAGCTGAGAATTTAGTTGGATAAAGTTACAGTTTGCAAACTGAAAGCTGCTAAAACAATCACATTTATTTTCCCCGACCATTCTGTTCAGTACGTTCAGTACACAAATCACTCACTGACTGACTGACTGAGAGGAAGAGAGTGACTCGGAGGCGGTGCTCTCGTTCAGTTCGTTCAGTGAACGTGAACGAGCGAGACTGCGAGTCACCAGCCTCAGTCACACACACACACACACACACACACACAATGTACTGACTGAAACACGATTGTTAGTGGATGTTAAAAAAGTCTCCCGACCGACTCCATCCTGTTGGTTCAGTCAGTATGTATCACGGACATGAAAGGGAGAGGGAGGGCGGGCTTTGAGCGACTCTTACGGTCTAGAGAGAGATACGACACGGGAGAGAGGAGAGCGCAACTGAAGTTGAGAAATGAACGACTTTTTTCAGTAAGTGATTCAGTTCAGTTCGTTCACCTAGAAGATTCGTTCTTTTTGAACGAATCGTTCATGACCGACACATCACTAGTAGCAGCGAAGACGATCTTTGGTAGTAGTAGTGAAGCACAAAAATATGGATAACGTTTGTCAAAAAAACACAAAGAAAAGGGTGGGGCTGAGAAGGCGAGGGAAAAAAAATGCGACATTTAGAAAGTGAAGCCGCTAAATGTCGCAAGCTCACTGAAATGTTCAGCAGCACAGCCGGCAGCAGCACTGAGGCACAAGTTGACGTTAGCAGCAGCATCCAAGAAGTTAGCAGCATGAGTGAAGAAGAGAGAGTTGAGGCGAGCCGGACAGTTGTGCAGCCTCAGCATGGTAGGGTCACATGTGATGATGAGGGACAGAGAGATGAGCTGGTGGAAGTTCAGGGCTGGAACTTGACATGAGAGAGGGAGAAAGAGAGTTACTTGCTGGTTGATGTTAGCAAATGTTATTCAGGTGTTGCTACATTTTTATCTATACCCAGTTTGTGTTGCTCAGTACAATGCAAAAAATTAAATATATGAAATAAAATAAAGTGAAATAATGATTATAATAGTTTAAACAGCTCCACTTTAAACATTTTAGGTGTAAAATGCCACATGCAGTAATATTAAGAAACACTATATAGAAACTATATACTGTATATATAAAAAACTGTTGCGCTTTTACTTTTTAAAGTTTTGGTAACGTTACAGTTTTCTGATAATACTTACAAACTTTGAAGACTTTGAATACAGAAGTTACATTTGTAGTGATGTATTTTCATTATTATTTGTGCAGTAAGTTAATTACTGCATAATTTAATTAAGATTATTGAGTAATAAAGTAATCATAAGATTGCGTGGAATAGATGATGTTATAATCAACACCAGTGCTATTGCTGTAATTTGGATGGTATAGTGTAATGAGTCATGATTCAAGTATTGTGACACCTGCCCATTGTAAACTTATATTATCTCTGTCCTGGTTACATCAGACACTTCAGTATGCCTATCACAAATAAAAAAGAAGACAAAAAAACAGTAGAATCCATATAACGTATAATAGTTTGTTATATGGATTCGACTGTTTTTCTAAAAAGTCACAAAAAAACAGTTTTAAAAGATGTCTAAAAAAATTGAAAAAAGTCACAAAGAAAGTCACAAAAAACTCGCAGAAAAGTGAAGTTGTGAGTTTAACCCCTTCGATCTTACCAAGGTACCACATCTTTCTGAGCATGGCTCAGGGTGGCGCTGCCCTGCGGCGACACGGACACCAGTGAGCTGTTGTAGAAGTTTGTATTTTGTATGTGATCATTTTGGACTACCGTTCTGTGAGAATGGATGAATGAAGACCAAAAGGAGAATGAACATGCCGTGCTTTTGGACTCTTTTAGTGGCAATCACGATCCTCGTTGAACTTTTTAACAGCTGCCGAGCAACCGGAGTAAATCCGGTGATACAATACACACGAGAGCTGCTACTGTCTCTTCGCAATGATGCAAATCCACAGAGATTGATGACAGAAGACCTGCCTCAGGAGATACGATCATCACACCGACAGAGAGCGAGAAAAAGAGGCCGGAGAGGAGGCGTCCGACAGCGGCTGAGAAGGAGAGGAAGCCGGCCGCCACTACCATCTATGATCCTGTGCAATGCCAGATCGCTGAGAAACAAATTGGACGAACTCCGACTACTGTCAAAAGCCTGCTTTGAATACCGTGAGTCCTGCATAATGACTATTACTGAAACGTGGCTAACATCAGATGTACCAGAGCCTTTGGTCGAAATTGAAGGTTTCAGCCATATCCGCGCTGACAGAACTGAGGACTCCAGGAAGAGCAAAGGAGGCGGGCTCTGAGTCAATGACAAGTGGTGCAGGCAGTACACAGTTCAGGGAACTGTCTGCAACAAGGACGTTGAACTACTGTGTGTTAGCCTAAGACCTTTCTACCTGCCCCGGGAGTTTGGAAATATTCTGATATGTTCAGTTTATGTTCCCCTGACGGTAACGCATCCAGGGCAGCTTCTGAAGTGGCGGACTGTGTACAAGAGCAGCTTCAACGCACACAAACGCCCCCATCTTTATTATGGGAGATTTTAAACACTGTAATCTGAACACTGCACTTTTATATATATTGAACAATATATAAAATGCGACACCAGGAAGAGAAAAACATTGGACAAATGTTATGGAAATATCAAGGGTGCATATTCAGCTTCCGCAACACCCCCTTTGGCAAATTCTGACCACAACACTATCCATCTGATCCACACTTACAAAACAGCTCTTAAGAGCAGCAAGCCTCTTGTTAAATCTGTCAATGTATGGACTAAAGAGAGTATTGACACATTGAAAGGCTGCTTCTTATGCACAGAATGGGACACTTTTTCTGAGGAGAATGATGTAGACCAGGGGTGCCCAAACAGTCGATCGCGATCGACAGGTAGATCGCTGACTGATTCTCAGTCGATCGCGAGATGTTTAGTCAATATAAAATACAATTGTAAAATAGAAAAGTGATTTCAATTTCATCTCATTGCACTGTTTCCCACACACGATACCTGTGTGGGGAGCCCAAGTATACTTCCGACCTGTTTGTATTTAATTTTTCATTTATTCATGAAATTGCTGCGTGCACGAGAGAGCGAGCGAGAGAGAGAGAGAGAGAGAGAGCGCGCAAGAGAGAGAGAGTGCAGGCATGCGCAAGGACGTGCAGGTAAAACCGGGGGGGTAAATGTTTTACCAAAAAGTCATATATAGAAACTATGCAACGAGTATTAAGCGCATTTGATGAAGCTGCAGCTACTTTTCTCTGTTCCTCTCTGCTGTCATGACTGTGAGCATCGCGGGGCACGAGACACACCAACATTCAGCGCAAAACGTAATATTAAAATGTAGCCTACCCTAAAATAAGAGTTTAAAAAAATTGCATTATTTTTTACAGAACTCTCATTTATTATTTTCTGTTTGTTGTGTGAGTATTAAATGCGTTTGTAGGCTGTTGGTAAAGGCTATGGCTCACTATGTGGACTGGTAGATCTCGGCAGACTGGTAACTTTAAAAGTAGATCTTGGTTCAAAAAAGGTTGGGTACCCCTGCATTAGTGCATAACTCAACATTGTTCAGTTAAGTATAACACGTAAAGCTCACTTTTTCAGTTCATTCCCCGTCCACGAATCCCTCGAATTCTTCTTCTTCAGTGTCCGAATTGAACAGTTGGGCGAGTACTGCATCCAACATGCCCGGCTCCCTCTCGTCATTATCCGAGTCAGTGTCGCTGAGCGCCGTGTACAACCAGTATGGATCAACCAATTAACCAATTGATCCATATATAAGGCGCTCCGGATTATAAGGCGCACTGTTGTTTTTGAGAAAATTAAAGGCTTTTAAGTGCGCCTTATAGTGCGGAAAATACGGTACATGAATTTGAGCTGAAAAGTCTATGAATACAAAAACTTCTCTGTGCGTGTTGTACCCATCCTACAGTCGGATGGTAGTGGTACCATCTTTTCTTCTTCTAATGGAGCTACTGTATCTCATTCAGGTTTGGTCTCACAAAGAGTACCCTCTGATCCCTGTGGGCAAACTGGTGCTCAATAGGAACCCAATGAACTACTTTGCTGAGGTGGAGCAACTCGCCTTCGATCCCAGCAACATGCCACCAGGCATCGAGGCCAGCCCAGACAAGATGCTGCAGGTAAACACAACTTTCTTTCTTTTCATTTGTTATTCTTGACACATTTTCCAGTAATACTGAATCTAAAAAAAGTTATTTCAGCTAAACTGTTCCTGTAACTTCAAATAATAACTGTCTCTATGGGTCCTGTTTAAGTGCATGTTCAGGCATCTTAATGAGGGCATTTGGTGACCCCCAAGACTTTATTGTCTCCCAGCAGGTCTTAGTCTGGACCCTAATCTTTTGAATAAATGACCAACGAGAAATCTTGTTTTGTTTTTTTAAAGACAGACCCTTCAGTTAAGCGATGCCCTGTTGATGTTCATCTCCTTTATCTTTGTCTAGGGCCGTCTCTTCTCCTACCCAGACACGCATCGACACCGGCTGGGAGCTAACTACCTGCAGCTCCCTGTCAACTGTCCATTCAGGAGCCGTGTGACCAACTACCAGCGCGATGGTCCGATGTGCATGTTTGACAACCAAGGTGAGTCATAGTCCAACCTGTGTGTGACGCAATAACAGAGACAGACTCAAAGGCTTTACCGTTGAAGCTTTGTATGTAGCACAAAAAATAAATCTTGTATAATCTACCTAATCTATCTTTTAGTCTGTATATATCAAAGGAGCATTGTAGTATTTGCAGCGATTGGGTTACTCACAGTGTGTCCAGGAAAGATGAGCCACCTTGTGTGAGACAAAGCACACCACAACAAACATCAAACCTGAGTGATGAAGTTAGAGTGAATTCAGTCTATAAAACACATCAGTTTAATACATTTGATCTCCCACTCACATCCAGACATACAAATATTTAGTTTTCTGAAAAGACTTGGTAAAATACAACAGGGCAAGACCAAGAGTTGCCCAACAGATGTCGCCATTGAGACTGTATGAAATGCAATAGGACTCATACTAATAGGAGGGTGTTTAAGAAGAATTGTAAGTTGCTCATCTAATTCAAACTGAGTTTAAAACTAACCACAGTCATCCATGCACACAGTTAATAAAGTTCTTTATTCTGTTCAGATTTTAACATAGCAGTTTGTTCTGTCCGGCTTCTAGGTGGAGCCCCAAACTACTATCCCAACAGCTTCAGTGCTCCTGACACCCAGCCTCAGTTTGTGGAGTCCAAGTTCAAGGTGTCTCCAGATGTGAGCCGTTACAACAGTGCAGATGAGGACAATGTCGCACAGGTGAAGAAAACATCCCGATATAACAAGCACCAGCCGGTTTACACAAACCGATTTCACCACCAGGATGGTTCTTCTTCTCTCCTAATTTCCTGTGCGCTTCCTGCCCTGTACCAAACAGACACAGCTAACAGCTTCAGAGCCCAACATAATAAATCAGTGTTATGTCTAACAGGTTCCTCCTCTTTCACAAGTCACCATGGACATAAGTCAATATGGTTTTCAAATAAAGACTGAAATGAAAATCAATAATAATGAATCATTGTAGAGCAAAACAAGTGAACTAATCTACACATGAACTGTATGTGTGTTACTACTCTAAGGTAACCAGGATCGTGACAAGGCTAGAGATGATTGGCTTTATTTTGAAGCTATCCTGTCTGTATGAAGTGGACTGAAATGGATATCATTTTGATTCAATCTACTCTTACCAGGTATTTAATGTGTGTTTTCAAATTTGAATTGCAGGTTCGGACCTTCTACACCGATTGAATGAGGAGGAGCGGGAGAGGCTTTGCAGTAACATGGCTGGTGCCCTGAAAAGAGCCCAGCTCTTCATCCAAAAGCGCATGGTGAGTCCTCACTGCATTATTATCCACACAGTCTCTGTCACCTGGACATGCTTGATGCTGTCATGCTTCTACTAAGAGTTGTCCAAACATAATACTTCCACTGTTTAAATGAAATGACATGTTCTTTAACATGTTTATTGCCCCGTAGCAGGAAACATTTAAAAAATAAAATACTGATGGCTTTATGAACGAGCGTGCTAAAACCACAGGATGTGGCTCTCTGGAAACCTAACACTGTGCTCATGAAGCTTGGTGTCTGTATGTGGGTTTAGGCAGAGGCGATTAAATTGAAATCTCCCAATTCATGCACCAGGCAGTTCTAAAGTGTTCTTCAAACAATCAAAGAAAATGTGATCATGTATACAGTGTAAAATGAAACAGAACAGAAATGTTACTTAAATCTCGCTCAAAGGGAACAGTTACTGAAGAAGACTTAAGAGGTCCGGTTAGTAGTTTTTTTTGGGATTAAGCATTTATTGTTTAAAAAAAGGAGTACGATTTGGACGAGTTTATAATGGTAACTTTAGTTGTTTTCCTATTACCTTGGACGACATAGGTCGTCATGGTTATTAAACTGGTGAATGCACTGGCTTGTTTTTTTAACAAGTTGTCAGGGAACAGTGATTTGTACTGATCCTGACTTCTACTATGATTGCAGAATGATATGAATGAGTCTGTTTTCACTTATAAATTCCAGGGCTTCTTAATGGTTGATTTGCTAACTTTTACATAAAGACTTTTAAGTCATCTTTTTTGTGCATACATTTTCTCAGTGATGTCAGATACCATGGATTATTCAGGTTCATTAAGAATCTGAAGGCCCTTACTCATCACTGCACCTGGCACTATATGCTTGTGTCAGCTTCCCTGCATTGTCATGTTGACTAAATCACTGGCATTTCCTGGTTTATGAGCTATTTCTTAACTTTCTTCCTTCTTATGTATGTCATTTTGTTCATTTGAATAATGCTGGAAGCTACACTCCTCACCCTGTTTTTCATATCTGTCTCCAAAGTGCCTCTTTACATGAGAATACAGGAGAGATGGGTAGGCTGCCCTATTTGGCTTAGGGCGCACTCACACTAGCAAAGTTGTCCCGTACTGTGCTTAAGCACGGTTGCCCCCCCTCCCCATTACCCCGCTGGCCTGCTCTCACACTGCTCCAGGACTAACCGGGCCCGAGCACGGCTACCTCTTGCACATAAGGTCGTAATACAACACATGCATGGCTTTACTTAATAATGAAGCGTGCTCAGTTTACAAGACAGGCTTACTCGAGGAAATAAATAAAGACACATGGTCGATTCTGCGTCCATACATCGGGGAACTTTAGCGGTGAAGCGTGCTTGGGCACGGCACAGATTGCCTAGTGTGAGTGCGCCCTTAGAATCTGCTACAGGAGGATTTGGATGTGGGGGACCTTGTTCCTTCAGACCTTTGAAAAAGGAGTTTGAAGGCGTTGGAGGAAGTTGCATCAGGTTATAGACACTTTGAAATGGCTAAATACAATAGCTAATCAACTTGAATCACATTTTTATGTTTGAAATGTCTTTATTGAGCATTTCAAAACCGTATTCGTCATACTTTCATTTTTATAAATATACTT